CTCCTCGAGATCTCAGCCTCGGAGTTCTTCAAGGCTCTACCCTTGACCGAAGAGTGCATACAGCAGTGCAGCATTCGGATGACGAAGAGGCCGGACCGTGATGTGGATGCAGATGCTTGGAGAAGCTATTACTTATTCGTCGCCAAGGCTTGCCAGGTCCTGGGGATCGCCATTGAACCTAGGGAGGTTCGGCAGCAGGTCCTGAAGGTCATGCTGGAGGCCTTCCCGGAGAAACGGATACAAGTGGCGTTTGAGAGGATATATGAAGACGATAAATGCGCGTCGATCGACGTCGCTGAGTTCGTGAAGGACGCGGCGGCTAAAGGCATGCGGTCTGTCCAGGCCTGGGCATTAGGGCATTGTCTGGGAGAGTTTCAGGAGGTGCTAGCATGCTATTTGGACGCGCCCCAGCTCAGTGAGGATATATTCGACGATATCATTCGCAGTGATGACCCACAGATCTCTCGGGGCATCCGGACGGCTGCGCTGGCGTTGGTCCGAAGGCTCATAGAATTGAACCCGGCAGAGACTGGGCGGCTCTTTATGGATGGCACTCTTGAATTGGAGGAGTCGACCGGGCCTGTTGTGAAGCTTGGGGACATTTCTGATGACCTCTACTGCGCATTTTTGTTGCCGCTGTTGAACCCAGACTCGTCGTGGCGGAACGCTGAGGGTCGGAGGAAGTTCTATCGCGCCCATGCGATGACCGGGCTGGAGCTGCTACTACGGACTGATCGTCAGTCGGGCGTCTCGAAGTTCCTACTTAGAGCTGATAAGGACGCTATACCGCTGGACCAGGCACGAGAGCTGTGCCAGAGGTACTCGAGCATTCAGGGCATGCTCTGCCTGTGTGAGAAGGCCGAGGACGATGATGGTGCTGTGACCACTGTACTGGACGCTCTAGCCAAGGCTCAGGAGGAGTCTCAGAAACTCGAGTTGGTCTCGCTAGCAGCGGATTATACCCTCAGGCGAGCGGAGAAGCTCCAGCCGGAGCAAATTTCTAAGCTTTGGATGCCCTGTTTGGCGATGGCATGTGACGACTTGCAGATTTCGGAGATGCTCCTACGCAAGGGGGGAGTATTGGATTTGGTCCCCGTGGGTCAGTCTATTGAGACGCTGCTTCGGAAGCGGCCGGGCCGACGAGTGGACGATGATGCCCTACGGAAGCCGCTGGTGAGCCTCTTGGGCGGTATTGGTTTTTCCTACTCATTGGCAGAGGCGACCGAAGATATATGCCGACAGGACGCTAGTAAGCTGTTCTCTGACTTGGTGTCTCGGCAGAGTCGTGCCCTCAGCGTGGGCTCGGTCCTCTGTCAAGGTTGTCAGAGGCCCCTGGTGGGTGAAGGGAATATCTCTGGCAAGGTCACCATTTTCGACTGTGGCCATACGTATCACGACAAGTGCTGCCAGCCCGAGCCTGACGAGATGAACCCGAGTCCAACACTGAGGGAGTGTAAACTGTGTCGGTGGGGGTAGTCACCATAAGACAGGATCCGCGTCCTTGGCTCTGTTGTACTATTGGTATTGAATCTTAATCCTGGCATCGACTGTAACATTCACCACACTGTGTGTCCATATCGCGCGTTTCTAAAGCCGTAGGGCTGCTCTTGTTGGGTTCGACAGTTGGGGGCGGTCCTCCTTGGCAGACAGGGTTACCCTCGGTGGTATCTTCTTT